CCTCAGCCCCGGCCCCTGCTGCCACCACGGTGGCACTGCCCAGCTCCGAGCGCCCCTGCCCAGGTGGGAGAGGCACCCTTTGGCTCCTACCTGAGTGCGGTGCCCTGCGGCAGGATGGAGGAGGGAAGCCCGGGTGGAGCATGGGCTGGAGGAAGGCACAGCCCTGCCTCTCCCAGCCCTCCAGCCAGCCCAGAGCCATTCCCGGCTGCTCCAGGCCTCTGGGGGATGATGGAGCAGTCGCAGGGCGGGGAGATACAGCAGGGCCCTGCCCGCTCCCTTTTTGGGTGGAGAAGGATGCAGAAAGTGAAGCTATAAAAAAAAAGAGTCAAATCCATCCAAGAAGGTGCCAGAGTGCTGAGCAGCCACCCCCATGACATGGATGTGTCAAAGAGGCTCGGGGGGGACCAACAGCCCAACTTTGGGGTTAAAATATGAGCTAAGAGACGTGGGCACGGCCTCACCCCAGCTGTGCTCGCACATCTGGCAGGGCCAGCCCTTCCCAGGCTCCCAGCAGATGCTGCAAGCACCGGCAGCTCTTGCCTCCAAGGGCTGCCCATGCTGCAGTGCAGGCAGGGGGGTGGGCTGGGGATTGCTCCCCCTCTCTCCTGTGAGCAGCCTGGTCCTGCTGGCAGCACTGGGACCCAGATCTGGCTCCAAACACTTGCCCTTGGAAACCATGCAGGTGAGAGAGCTGGCAGCACCCAAACAGAGCCAGGGCTGGTCCCAAACCACCCTGCTCCAGCCCTGGTGCCAAAACCACCGGGGTTTTGCCAGATGGGAGGAGGGAAAGAGGTTGCTGCTACTGCAAAACCTCCTCCTGGCACCCCGAACCCCAAGTGCCCTGCCTGTGGCACAGCCGAGAGCTGCCCGTCCCCACACCCCATGCCAGGCACGGTCTCTGCTCTCAGTGGCTTTCTGGAGCACCCACGATGGGACCACGAGTCCTGACATTCCTCCTCCTGCACCACCCTGGGAACCCCGGGCCGTGGGGAGGGCTGGCAGCTCCAGTTATGGGCCTGGGTTACATTTAAATGAGAAACCTCAGCCCTAGCTTGGGGGATTTAGTTTCCTTGGAAGCGGCAGCAGGCAGGAAATGAAGAAAACACGGCCCTGCTGTAAGTGTTTTACCAAATGCCGGAGGCAGCGGGAGGCATTTCCCAGCACAGCTCGGCCTCGAGCATCATCCCCAGCCACCACCACAGGCACGGCTCTGGAGGCAGCGGACGGTGCTGCCCAGGGAGGGAAGTCTGTCAGAAAGGGCCGTGCCTGCTGGGAAAGAGCAGAGTTCAAGGAGAGGGGGTCGGCAGCCTCCCGTTCTGTCGCCGGTGCCCCACGCGATGCAGAAGGCGCCTTCGGGGCTGTGCAGGGAGCCGGGGCCAGCAGGACCCTCTGCTCTCCACAGGGAGCTCCCAGAGGACCGGGCTTCCATGCTGGCTCAGAGCTGGGGCTTTGTCTGACTGGATGGGGAGAGCAATTCAGCGCTGGCCACCTCCCCAGCTCCTGCCCTAAGCCCCGGCCGTGCCGGCCTGGCCTTTGCAGGGCGGCTGAGCCCGGCGCAGAGCTGCTGCCCTGCCAGACTGCAGAAACTTGAGCTCCAAATAACATAATTCCTCTGGCACCCCGTGGTTATTTGTGAGCTGCTGTGAGCAGATGGAAGAGTTACAGATAAAGCCATCCGCAGCACGGGAGCCGATTGCCTTCCCCACACAGCCGCGTAGGCAACGGCAAAGGCAGGGAGGAGGAGAGAAAAAACCCACCAGGCAGCGAGAGAGGAGTCAGCCATTTCCGAGGGGCCGAGCTGCCATCTCAGCACACCTACGTGCGAGGAACGGGGACTTTCTGCTGGCGCCGGGCCCTTCCCAGGATGCTGGAAGAGGGGAGCGCTCTCCCACCACCCGTGGCTGCTTGGCCAGGGACAGCAGCGCGAGTCGGGGGTGACATTGGCACGGCGGAGCGCTGCCACACGCTGGGAGAGCAGGCTGCTAACGCTGATCCGAGCTGGCAGCGCCTGCACTCGCTTCGGTCCCAGAGGGGGAATTAAGGGAGAGAAGCTGACGTCAGTGGTGGAAAGGACACACAGCCCACTCGTCCAAGGCAGCCAGCAGCATCTTCTGGGTGTTGCTAACACCACCTTGAAGGAGAAAATTAAATAGGTCTTTGGAGATGGGGGCTCCTGTGAAGCCGCAGCCTGGCCAGCTGTGATCCTGCGCCGAGTCGTGTGGAAGAGACAGACGGGCACGGAGAGGGATCAAAGGCCGGGGCCAAGGTGGGTGTGCCAAGGCTGCGGAGCCGTGGAGACACTGGCCCAGCTGCGGCAGCAAAGTGCTGCTCACGGACAGGGCTGGGGCTCACACAATCAATCACTGCCGGCCTCCTCCTCCCTGCAGCCAGCTAAAGCTCAGCCTCCAGGAGCTGCGGGTTACCCAGGAAGGCAGATCTGGAACTACTTCCCTGTTTCTTAGGGGGTTAAATCAGCACAAAACACCCCCCGAAACTCTGATGACTTCCAAGGGCTGTCACTCCAAAAGCACAAGGCTACGTGTTGCCCTGCACCCCAAAAAAGCAAAGGCACCACCTGGCCACAGGCACGCCCATCCAAAGGCAGCCGGGAGCTCCAGGCGCTCCTCCCCGGCTCCAGCTGGAGCCGGGAGCTGGGACATGCAGCTCCAGGGAGTGTGGAAGCCCCAGAGCTCCCTCCTTCCCCTGCCCTCTGCGCCCCTGCACGACTAAAGGCCTTGCTTGTTCAGGAGCTGGCAAGGCCAATTAATCTAATGAGGTTTTGCAGCCAGGGACCATTGTCAGCCAAGAAAGGCACAGCGCTGCGGAGCGAGGCACCGGTGTCTCCTAAAGCCAAGGGAATTTGGCAGAGCAAAGCCCGCGGTAAAAGCAGGGATGAGGAGCAGCAGGGACAGAGCCTTTTGTTGCTTTTCACCAACCAGCAAGAAAACAGAGCCCCACGGAGCGAGGCCAGACGAGGCACCTGAGCTCGGGGCCAGCAGCCACCGCTGCCAGGCACATTCGCTGCACGAGGGAGCCGGAGCTGTGAAATGGAGGCAAAAAGCTGCTGCAGCCCCTTCCCGGCCCAGCTGCAGCAACTCTGCTCTGCAAGATGGAGCCCGGGTTCATTTCCTAGGGCGGGGAGGGCTGGGGGCTGCTCCTGGCTGGGGCTTCCTTGGCGCCTGACCCCCGAATTCCCACCGTAACAGCCCTCAGCCCACCTCGGCGTGGAAAAGGTCTGAGCCGATGCTGTTTGCCTGACAGCTCGGGATGTGCCAGCTCCCCTCGGCCTCCGCCTGGGCAGGAGGCAGCTGGCACCTCCATGGACACTGGGCTTCCCAGGGGACAGCCTGGGAGCTGCACAGGACACGAGCACAGGCACGACTGGCTCGGGTGGCCCCGCACCTCCCACGCTCCCAGGAATGAGCGAGGCTGGCCCACAGCACCTGTGGCTGCCCCTGGATCCAGGCTGGACGGGGCTTGGAGCAGCCCGGGACAGCGGGAGGTGTCCCTGCCCCTGGAATGAGATGAGCTTTAATGTCCCTTCCAGCCCAACCCTTTCCATGACTCCAGGTCACACACAAAGCCACAGCTGCCCCTGTGCCAGGCCCAGGCTCACACTTCCCCCCCAGTAACACACACAGGCACCGACTGGATAGAAAGATTTTATCAAGTTTTTAAAAAGAATCAAAAAAATTATTACTTTTTTTTTTTATACACGTACATTACAAAATATTTGCAGTTGGGATCTTCATCCAGGGGTTACTGAGCTGATTATTAAAAACAACAAAACAAAGCAGCAGGAAATCTGGCTTATACAGCAAGTGACAGGGGAAAGCACAGACATTACATGGGAATACAGAAGGCAGGGAGTCTGCACTGGGATGTGCAAGGATGGACCAGGGTGGGCTCTGATCCCCACACCCACTGCCTCCCTGCAGAGTCCGGCCATCAGTGTTTGTTTTGCAGGGGTAAAAAAAAAAAAAAACAAACAAAAAACCAAACCTGACAAATCTACAGTATTTTGCTCACATGTTTGGGGTTTTTAATCCTTTTTTTCTTCTTTCTAAGCAGAGTTTCACTGCTGAAACTCCTTTGGTCTGAAGTGAGGAACCCCCTGCACCCTGAGAGTATCCATCAAACGTCGCCCTTCCGACCTCCAGCCTGGCTGGGTCCGTGGGGGGCACTCCCCATCCCTCCACTCCCACCTTATCTCCGCTCAGCAAGAAACCCCTAAGATATAAGTGGAATAATTACTCTTATAAATATATTTATATCATGTAGGAAAATAAGGCACTTCGGGAGGGGTTACAGCTTGTCTAATTCTATGACATTCTAATCAGGAAGAAAAATGGATTAGTTTCTGAAGTGAATTAAAATGAATGTTAATACAGTAATAAAAACATGGGATCCACTTCCACTTCAAGGCTTTGTTTAGAAAGGAAGAGAAGAAAGCACCCCCGAAATCCAACAGCAGTGAAACCTGACCCGGGGCAGCTGCATCTGCCCTGCCAGGCAGCTCCATCCCAGAGCCCCTCCAGGGCAGGGACTTCCAAAAGAAACACGTTAAATAAGTTCACGTTCTGAAAAAAAAAAAAAAAAA